GGTCACTTTACTTGCTCATATGCATGGAACGAGATTAGGGAAAAAAGGACCAAGACAATTTTCAATACACTCATTTGGCACAGGAGTATTCCTTTTAAAACTTCTTTTCTTTTGTGGACGTGGAAAACTTCCTACTAACGAAAAACTAATCAGCTTTGGCAATGAGCCAACAAATTGTTTTTGTTGTTGTAACAAGCCAAGTCTGGACACCATAGAACACACATTCAACAAGGGACATTTTGCTACCTACGTATGGAAAAGCTTTGCTACAGCTGCTGGAATCATAACAGATCACAGCTCCTTACCTCAACTCATCATGCAATGGTGGTCGACCAAACACAACAAGGCAGCACACAGACTGTTATTACAAGCCACGCCAATATTCATTTGTTGGAATCTATGGAAGAACAGATGTGCCAGTAAATATGGAGGGAAACAATCCAATATTAGTAGAGTCAAATATGCCATCTACAAGGACAACTACAAGCTCATGACTAGAACATTCCCTCAAATCAAATGGCATTCAAACTGGATGGAGCTGCTCCAGCAGGGGGAAAGATGCATTCATGACACCAAAGTTACTCTTGTTAGATGGATAAAGCCTCCAAATCAATGGGTTAAAATCAACACGGACGGCAGTGCATTAAGTAACACAGGCAGAATTTGAGCAGGAGGCATCCTAAGGGATCAAGATGGTGAAATGATACTAGCTTTTGCTACCCCCTTAGGAGAAGGCACTAACAACCAAGCGGAAATAGGAGCAACAGTATTTGGCATGACCTAGCTACTTCAACTCGGCTACATGAATGTTATTCTAGAAGTGGACTTGCAACTCCTTGTGGATTGGATCATGCTTAAAGTTAAACCTCCATGGAGCATTAGCACACAGCTGCAACAAATTCAAGAACTCATCAGACAGACAAGCAACTTCAGGTGCAAACATATTCTCAGAGAAGCCAATTTTGGGGCGAATTCATTAACAAAATATAGTCACAAAATCACAAGTCCCAAAATATATTGCAATATTCACCAACTACCAAAGGAAACAAGAGCATACTACCAACTAGATATGCTTGGAATGGTAAGTTTCAGGAGGAGGAAAACTAAAAGGATCAAAGAGACCCTTGATTTTGGCTCCAACCTGTTCAACCTAGCTATGGTTTAAAATTATAGCTCTTTTGAATAAGTCTAGTTTATTATGTTTTGTTATTGTAAAGGGAGAGTCTCCCTTTTTTACGATTCCTAGTTTCTTTGTATTGAGAGGAGTCCTCTCTTAGGTGCTTAGTTTCTTGGTTTATCTTTTTGTAAGGTGATGAGTTGACTAACCTTTAGGTAAGTCGACTACGGAACCATCATAGGTTCGAAGGTTAGGTCTATGTCCTCCTTCTTGTATTTCTGCTTTATTTATGCTAAGGCCTGGGGGTGTTGCCTCCCCCCCCCCCCCCCAAGGGTTGTTAGAATTTTAAAAAAAAAAAAAGAAACCCTAAACCCTAAATCCTTAACTCTAAACTTTAAGCCCTAATCCTAAACCCTACACCCTAAACCCTAAAATCTAATCCCTAAACCCTAAACTTTAGCCCAAAACCATTAATCCTAAACCCTAACCTAAATCGTAAACCTTCAACACTAAACTCAAAACCCTAAACCCTAAACCCTTAAACCTGATCCTAAACACTAAATCATAAACCCTTCACTCAAAACCATAAATCTAAAACGCTAACCCGACACCCTAAACCCTAACCCCTAACCACTAAACCTAAACACTAAATCCTAACCCCTAAACCCTAAACGCAAAACCCAAAACCCAAAACCCTAAACCATAAACCCTAAACCCTAAACCCAAAACCCAAAACTAAAAAACCATAAACCGTAAACCCTAAACCTTAAACCCAAAACCCTAAACCATAAACCGTAAACCCTAAAGCCTAACCTTAAGACCTAAACCCAACACCCTAAACCCTAACCATAAACCCTATATCATAAACCCTAAATCCTAAACAATAAAACTTAAACAATAAATCCTAAACCCTAAACCGTAAACCGTAAATCGTAATCCCAAAATCCAAAACACTAGACCCTAAACCTTAAACCCAAACCCTAAACACTAACCCTAAACCCTAAATCCTAAATCTTAAACCCTAAATGATAAACCCTTAATCCAAAACCCTACACCTTAATCTCTAAACCCTAAACCTAAAACCCTAGATCCTAAACCATAACCCGTAAACCCTAAACCCTACATCCTAAACCATAAATTCTAAAGCATAAACCCTAAACCCTAAACCCTACATCCTATACCATAAATCCTAAAGCTTAAACCTTAAACACTAAACCCAAAACTCTAAACCCTAAAACCTAAATCCTAAAGACTAAATCCTATACTCTAAACCCTAAACCCTAACCCTAAATCCTAAACCCTAAACTACACACCCTACACCATAACCCTAAACCCTAAACCCTAAAACCTAAACCCTAAACCTTAACCCATAACCCCTAAACCCAAAACCTATAACCCTAAAACCTAAACCCTAAACCCTAAACCCTAAACCCTAATCCCTAACCCCTAAATCAAAAACGTACAGCCCTAAACCCTAATCCTTAAACTCTAAGCCCTAATCCTTAAACCCTAAACCCCAAAACCTAAACCCAAAACCTAAACTCTAAACCAGAAACCTTAAACCAAAAACCTTTAAAATCTATACCCTAAATCCTAAACCCTAAACTCTAACCCATAAACCCTTGACCCTAAACCCTAAACCCTAACCCTAAACCCTAAACCCTAACCCTAAACCTTAAATCATAAACCCTAACCCTAACCCTAAACCCCAAACACTAAATCATACAACCTAAACCAAACCCTAAACACTAAACCTAAACCGCAAACCATAAACCCTAACTACTAAACCCTAAACCCTAAATCCTAAAGTCAAATCCCTAAACCATGAACCCTAACCAGCAAACCTGAAACCATAAACCCTAAACAATAAACCCAAAACCCTAAACCCTAGCCCTGAACCCTAAATCCTAAATCCTACACCCTAAACTTTAAATCACAAACCCTAAACCTTTAACCCTAAACCCTAAATCCCAAACAGTAAACCCTAAATCCCAAACTCTAAACCCTAAATCCCAAACTCTAAACACTAAAACCTAAACCCTAAACCCTAGACCCTACACCGTAAACCCTAAACCCTAACCACAAAACCCTAAACCAATAAACCCTAAATCCTAAACCCTAAACACTACACCCTAAACTCTAAACCCTAAACCTAAAACCCTAAAACCTAAATCATAACCCATAAACCCTAAACCTTACATCCTAAACCATAAATCCCACAGCATAAACCCTAAACCCTAAACACTACATCCTATACCATAAATCCTAAAGCTTAAACCCTAAATCCTAAACCCTAAACACTACACCCTAAACTCTAAACCCTAAAACCTAAAACCCTAAAACCTAAATCATAACCCATAAACCCTAAACCTTACATCCTAAAACCATAAATCCCACAGCATAAACCCTAAACCCTAAACACTACATCCTATACCATAAATCCTAAAGCTTAAACCCTAAATCCTAAACCCAAACCAATAAACCCTAAACCATAAACCCTTAACCCTAAACACTAAATCCCAAACTCTAAACCCTAATTCCCAAACTATAAACACTAAGCTCTAAAACCTACACCCTAAACCCTAAACACTAAACCCTAACGTTAAACCCTAAACCCTAACCCTAAACCCAAAACCCAAAACCTTAACCTCTAAACGCTAAACCTATAAATCCTAAACCCTGGACCGCTAACCCTTAACCCTAAACACTAAATCCCAAACTCTAAACCCTAAATCCTAAACTCTAAACACTACACCCTAAACCGTAAGAAGAAAAAAAAAACCATAAACCATAAACCGTAAAGCGTAACCTTAAACCCAAAACCCAAAACCTTAAACCCTAAAGCATAAACCCTAAATCCTAAACCATTAGCCCTAAACCCTAAATCCTAAGCCCTAAATCATAAACCCTAAAACGTAAACCCTAATCCCAAAATCCAAAACACTAGACCCTAAACCTTAAACCCTAACCCTAAATCATCAACCCTAAACACAAACCCAACCCATCGCTTCCTCATTTCTCCATTTTTTTCTCTCTCTGTTTCCCTCTCTACGCGGAACTCTCAAAAATTCTACACAGTAGGTACAGCTCCAACGGCTAGTTCACCAGCCGGAATGGCGCGTGAGCCACCGGTGGGCCGCTTCAGGCCGGCGGACCTAGGTAAGCAGAGGCGCCGTGAACATACGAACAAAACCCATCATGAATCGTCTTCCAATTCGACCTACAACTCCACGAATTCGCGAAACAATGAAGCGATGCATATCGTGATTTCAGAAAGGGAGTTGGACGGGATTCAAAAAATTAGTTCCACAGATCGCAATGAGGTGATTCATTGAAAGATGTTTAGTGGGGATGATTCTCCTCCTCAAAGGCTACAACATACTAAAAAATCATGTGATTCCACCTCCCCAATTGAGAGAACTGAGGAGATGAATTCTGGGAAAAGTTCCGAAAAATCGCCTGCGCGCCGCCTTCAGATTCGTCCACCTTCACGTTCATGGCGAATTGACCACTGGGGATTTCTCACCTGGTGAAGAAGTACACCTCATTGCAATTCCAAGTAAAATGGACGGCTCAGTCACCGGGAACATGAACTCCGATGAGCAAATAGCCGAAAAAATGAACAGTGACGGTGGCAATGCTACTGGGAATTATTCGATGGAGGAAGAGGTCCATCTTACTAACATACCTATCAATATACCCCAAGATCACCACCAAGATGTAATTCAGGCAAGTTTTGATAAATCTACAACCAACAACAAGTTGAAGTTGAAGAACTCAATGGCAGAACTGATGCAAATCATCAGGGGACATTTTTCAAGACCATGATGGTCCCAATGGTCAAAAACAAGACCTGCAATCAATGGAGACACATAAATTAGCTATGAATTCGAAGTTAGGAGACACAAGTCTAAGTCAAAACCAAAATGATCAGCATGGGAATACAAAGTCGACAACTCTGGAAGTAATTGAAGTGGAAAGCTCATCACAATTCTCATTTGGAGTCAAACCATCGGACACAATCCCAAGCAATGGAGGACAACAAAGACCAGGTATGAACACTAACTACAATACTAAATTTGATCATGATCACAGGCAGGAACTTCAAGCAGCAGACAATAATTCACCAAGAAAAAATCCGCGTGAGGGTGGAACTCAAGCAGGTAAGTTTTCTCATCCTAACTTGGATAGAAATGTTGTTAACTTGAGTAGTAGGGATGATCATGTGACTGCTAGTGCAAAGGGACAAAAGAATGATATACTGAATGATCTGGAATAGAGTAGGGGGAACTTGGAATCCCAACAGCAGGTTGAACGAAATAAGAGTAATGAGAAAAACAAAGGTCAAGTTCCTTTATCTGATCATGGAGGGAACTCTGAACCCAATAATTATCATAGAGAGTTTCCTAAAATTTCTAGTAATTTTGATAGACACACGACTTACAACCAAAAATATCAGCAAATTAATCCTCCAAACCAATCCAATGGCCCCAGCAATACCAATGAGAACCAGAAAACCAAACAGGACCAGCGTACAGAACCTGCCCCTTATACTGTGGTACAAACACTGGCTGCAAGACTTAGACAAATCCATGTTACACAAGCTACCTCCATAGAGCTGGTTCCACCCAGACATACTACCAAGCAAGGCCAACCTGCAGTGATCTACGACATGGATGACTTCATGAACAAATTGGCTGTGGATTGTAAGTACACCCTTATAGGTAAATTCAGTACCACCATGCCGAAAATAGAACTCATAAGGAAAAGCTTCATCCTACAAACTCAGCTGAATGGGGGGGTCAATATTGCCCACTATAATGCTAGGCATGTGTTTATCGTCTTGGACAATGAATTGGACTATAACACTGTATGGACACAACAAAGAATGACTATTGAGGGCAAACTTATGAGAATACAAGCTTGGACTCATAATTTTAGACCTGAGGAGGAAACACCCATTGTTCCTATATGGGTTCTCCTACCAGGATTGCCTTGGCACTGCTTCAAAAAAGAGTTCATCACACCCCTGCTTGAATCTGTGAGCAAGGTCCTATACTTAGATACAACTTCCATCAAGAGAACCAGGGCTAGCATGGCCAAGGTTAAAGTCCAAGTGGACCTTACAAAGACTAGACCTAGACATGTTTGGATTGGATTGGATGATGAAGACCTCACCATTGGAAGATGGCAACCTATCGAATATGAAAATATCCCACCCTACTGTACTTACTGCAAACATCAGGGTCACATAATAGATGATTGTAACTTCAAAATAAGGGATGAGGATTTCAAACGAAGGAAAGAATTGGGAACAGAAATGAAAAGCTTGCAGGAAGGAGAGCAAAGGCAACAAAGAAATGAACACAAGCAAATGAAGACAAAGGATCAAGAGGAGCAGCAACACCAAAACTCTAAGGAAAAGAATAATCAACAACAAACTGAGCAACAAACGGAAGGAGAATGGCAAGTGCCAAGAAGAAAAAACAATAAGCAGCAGGAGGAAAGAATGCAGAAGACAATGTGGAGACCAACCTCACCAAAAAGCAAAATGTCAAAAGAACAACCACAAATCACAACTCAGCTAACAGGTACAGGTAACACCTCTAATCATAACTATTTTACTAATCTTACCGTGCAGGAGAAACTCAATGAAGATATCCAGGAGCACAATAGTAAAGAAGAGGCAACAACCCAGAGACTACAAAGAAGGTCTAAAGCAGACCATAACCAAAGAATTGAAGTCCAGCAAGTACGAAACAAAACAAACAACAAAAGCACAGGTATTGACTCAATGCTCCCAACCCCCACAGACCCCAATAATTCTCATCTTGATAATGTTGTTGAAGTGGAAGGAGGGATGGATGAGGGATGTCAAGAGAAACAAACTAACTTGCAGGAAGGGGTGTCCAAGGGGGGGAATTTGACTCATGTTATGCATGAGGGGTTTCACATTGACCATAGGAATGACCTTAGAACCCCTGCTACCACTAGTCAACAACAGAGTCCAAATCAACAGCAGGTACAACAACAGAACAGATCAGAAAAGGAGAAGCAAAACACCAACAAAAATAGCAAAAACAAAAGCCACATTGAGACAGGAAATACAACTACACAAAGCAAGGGAGCTATGGCAAAAAATATGGGATCAAAGGCTAGTACCAGCAATCAGGAGCAGATCACCAAAAGCAAGAACAAACCTAGCAAAAAAAGGAGAGAAGCTGAAAAAAAGAGACAAAATCAACAGCAGGATAAAAATGAATAGAGGGAGCAACAAACAGATGGGGAAACGAGCAAGAAATTTATTATGGTAAATGAACAGATGGGAATGGATATTACTCCTCTGAAGACACAATATATGACCACACCTCTCAATGTGCCTCCTGATAAATCAACAGAAAAGTGCCAAATAAACAAAGGTCCAGTCATCGATGAATATGCTGTTGATAATTCAGAAGATGAACCAGATGGGTATTATCAATCTCTTAATGATCCTGATGAGGATGATGAGACCAGTGAGCTATTGATAAAAGCGTTTAGTCCTTCACCTGATAAAGGACTGGAAGAAGAGATTCAACATGTGGTTGATACCCAAGGATTATCTCCCAGGGGAATGTACCATGATAGATTCCAATTCAAAAAGCAAGATATCAACATTGTCACTGCTGGCAGACCAAATACTAGACTCTTTTCCTCCAGATCTTCCCAATGATTAGTACAATTATTTGGAATGTTAGGGGGATCAACACTCAAGGAGTAATGGAAAGAATCAAGATGCTAATGAAGGTGCACCAACTTTCCATCATTGCTATTTTAGAACCATTCTCGGATACTATTCAGATCCAAAGTTTTAAAAACCAATTGGCCATGGAACATGCTGTGAGTAATCGAAATGGCAAAATTTGGCTCTTTTGGAATAAGGACATTGATTGTGTAGTAATTGAGGAAGATGAACAACAAATTACTTGTGAGATTGGTCATAATGAAATTCAGAATCAATTCATCACCACCTTTGTGTATGCCAAGTGCAAGGATCATCTCAGAAGGCCCCTATGGGATAGAGTGATGTACCATTCTACTGCAACCACCAAACCTTGGTGCTCAGTAGGTGACTACAATGTCATTACTTCTATTGAGGAAAAGCTGGGAGGGATACCATATAACATGAGGAAGAGTTTAGACTTTATTGCTGTGATTGAAGCCTGTGGACTTATTGATTTAGGCTTCAGTGGCTAGAAGTTCACTTGGTCAAATAAAAGGGGTATACAGAACAGAATCTGGAAAAGGTTGGACAGGGCCATGGTTAATGATAGCTGGTTGGAAATCATGCCTCAAACTACCATCACTCACCTATCTTCTGTAGGATCAGACCACTGCCCATTACTGATGGAACTGTGTCCTAGAGAAGAAAATCACATCAGGTATTTTAAATTCCTCAATTGCTGGACTGATCAATCTAATTTCCTAGACACAGTGAAAACATGTTGGGATAGAACTGTAGAGGGCAACAATATGTGGAAATTTCATCAAAAATTGAAAAGGTTGTCCACCACTCTTAGTTCTTGGTCCAAAGGGGAATTTGGAGATATCTTTCTTAAAGTCAAGGAGTATGAGGAGAAGGTCAAGATTGCTGAAGAGAGTTTTATTCAAGATCACACAGAAAATAACAGGACAATTCTCCATAAACTCAATGCAGAATATATTAAATTCCTAAAAATGGAAGACTCCATTTTGAAACAAAAAACACAATTACAATGGTTCAAGGAAGGTGATGCTAACACAAAATACTTTCACTCTCTGATCAGAGGAAGGAGAACAAGGTTGTTTATTCACAAACTTATCAGTGAGGAAGGAGAGTGGATACTGGGAGATGACAACATTGCAGAAGCTGCCTGTGATCACTTCAACAAACTTTTCACTGGACAAGACAAAGCTATAAATGAAAATGCTATCAATTGTATCCCCAGGATGGTCACTCAGGAGCAAAATGCTAACCTTATCATCATGCCTACTATGGAAGAATTGAGGGAAGTGGTTTTCTCTATGAACCATAATTCTGCAGCTGGTCCTGATGGGATGAATGGGCACTTCTTCCAAAAATGTTGGCATATTATAAAGAATGATCTATTTGGTGTTATTCAAGCATTCTTTTGTGGGCAAATGATTCCCAAATACTTCTCCCATTCTTGCATTGTTCTCCTACCTAAGGTAAACAATCCTAATAAAATCACTGAGTTTAGACCCATCAGTTTAAGCAACTTTACTAGAAAGATTATATCTAAATTGATGAGCTCTAGACTTGGCCCCATTCTACCAACCTCGGTTTCTCTTAACCAATCAGGTTTTGTCAAGGGGAGAAGCATCTCAGAAAACATCATGTTGGCCCAAGAGATTCTTCACCAGATTAAGAAGCCTAATATTGGGAGTAATGTGATCATTAAATTGGACATGGCTAAAGCATACGATAGAGTCTCATGGTCCTATATATGCTTGGTTTTGAGAAGAATGGGGTTTGATGAGGTCTTTATTGATATAGTTTGGAGGATCATGGCTAACAACTGGTACTCTATTATTGTCAATGGCAAAAGACATGGCTTCCTTCACTCCACCAGAGGTCTCAAACAAGGGGACCCCTTATCCCCTGCCCTATTTATTTTAGGTGCAGAGGTCCTATCCAGATCCTTGAACAGACTCCATAGCAATCAGCAGTACCATGGTTTCTTTATGGAACCAAGAGGTCCGCAAGTGAACCATTTAAGCTTTGCTGATGACATTATACTCTTCACCTCTGGAAGGCAGAAAACTCTCAAACTCATCATGCAAACTTTGAAGACTTATGAAGAGACCTCAAGCCAGCTTATTAATATTGACAAAACCCACTTCATGCTTCATCCTAATGCCTTCAACAGCACTAGAGACAGAATCAGAAGAACTACTGGCTTCAGACAGAAAGAGGGGCCTCTTACTTATCTTGGTTGCCCCTTGTTTATTGGTAGACCTAGGATTATTTATTTTTCTGACCTTATTAACAAAGTCTTATGCAGAATCATAGGCTGGCAAACTAAACTTTTAAGCTATGGTGGCAGAACAATACTAATCAAGCATGTATTACAGTCACTACCTATTCACCTATTATCAGCAGTGACCACCCCTGTTATAGTTCTAAAATAGATCCAAAGCATCATGAAAAAAGAAAATACCATTGGGCTTCTTGGAAAAATTTAAGCTTTCCTTATGAAGAGGGAGGTGTTGGCATGAGGAATCTCAAAGATGTTTGCATAGCTTTCCAATACAAACAATGCTGGTGTTTTAGATCCAAGCAGACCCTTTGGGGAGACTTTTTGAGAGCTAAATATTGCCAAAGATCAAATCCTAGTAGTAAGAAATAGGACACGGGAGAGTCCTTGACCTGGAAGCATCTCATGCATAGTAAACATAAAGTAGAGGAACACATTCAATGGAAGCTCAACTCAGGCAATTGCTCCTTCTGGTGGGACGACTGGCTTGGTATTGGACCTCTTGCTCAGTACTCCACTGTCAGCAATAGGCTCAACAACACCAAGGTAGCAGAATTCTGGATGGAAGGTCAGTGGAACTTGAACATGCTCATTCAACAAGCTCCTCACAACTACCTCGCCAATATTTTAGCTACCGAGCTTCATATCCAACACGACATCCCAGACCAGGCCTGCTGGAAGCTTAACAGTGATGGAAACTTTACCTGCTCATCTGCATGGAACGAGATAAGGGAGAAGAGGACGAAGACTGCATTCAATAATTTCTGTTGGCATAAGAGTATTCCTTTTAAAGCTTCCTTTCTTTTATGGAGAACTTTGCGTGGTAAAATACCTACTAATGAAAAACTAATCAGCTTTGGCATTGAGCGAGCAAATTGTTTTTGTTGTTGTAACAGGACAGGTCTGGACACCATAGAACATATCTTCAATAATGGACATTTTGCTACCTGCGTATGGAAAAGTTTTGCTGCAGCTGCTGGAGTTAACACAGATCACAGCTCTATATCACAACTCATTATGCAATGGTAGTCGACCAAACATAACAATGCAGCACACAAGCTATTATTACAAGCAACACCAATATTCATTTGCTGGAACCTATGGAAGAACAGGTGTGCTAGTAAATACGGAGGGAAACATTCTAATATCAGTAGAGTCAAATATGCCATCTATAAGGACATCTACAAACTCATGACAACAACATTCCACCAAATCAAGTGGCCGACAACATGGAGAGAACTGTTTCAGCTGGGGGAAAGATGTATTCATAACATCAAAGTTACTTGTGTTAAATGGATAAAGCCTCCAGATCAGTGGGTCAAAATCAACACAGACGGCAGTGCATTAATTAACCCGGGCAGAATTGGAGCAGGTGGCATCATAAGGAACCAAGACGGAGAAATGATTCTAGCTTTTGCTACCCCCTTGGGAGAAGGTTCGAACAACCTAGCTGAATTAAGAGCAGCCGTATTTGGCATGTCCTGGCTGATTCACCTTGGCTACAAGAATGTCATTCTGGAAGTGGACTCGCAATTATTAGTGGATTGGATCACACTTAAAGCTAAACCTCCGTGGAGCATTAATACACAGCTACAACAACTCCAAAGGCTCATCAACCAAACCAACAACTTTAGGAGCAAACACACCCTCAGAGAAGCCAATAATGTGGCTGATTCATTATCAAAACAAAGTCACAAAATCACATGCCCTCAAATATATTGCAACAATCAACAACTACCAAGGGAAGCAAGGGCCTACTATCAACTAGATATGCTTGGAATGGCAAGTTTCAGGAGAAGGAAAATCAAAAGAATCAAAGAGCCCCCTTGAGCTTAGAACAATCGTTTCAACCTTGCTATAAGGTAAAAGTATAGTAATCTTGAATAGGCATAGAATTTACTTCTTGATGTAAAGGGAGAGTCTCCCTTATTTATGCTTCCTAGATTCTTTGTATCGAGAGGAGTCCTCTCTTAGGTGCTTAGTCTCTTGGTTCACCTTTTTTGTAAGGGGATGAGTTGACTAACCTTTCTAGGTAGGTCGACTACAGAACCACCATAGGTTTGGAGGTTAGGTTTAAGCCCCCCTCCTTGTAATTTTCTGGTTTATTTATGCTAAGGCCTGGGGGTGTTGCTAAGCCCCTGACCTCTTCAAGGGTCATTAAAATAAAAAAAAAAAAAAACAACAAAAAAAAAACACAAACCCTAAACCCTAAATCCTAAATCTTAAACCCTAAACCATAAACCTTAGA